TCACCATCGTCATTAACATCAATTATCATCGGCATCATCATCACCATTGTCATATGCACTAACTCACTCAATCACTCACTCATTCGCTCACTTACTCATCTCAGGCGGGAGCCTCGTCTGTGAGTGCATTGCGACGAAGTCTCAGGCGGGAAACCCCTCCCTATGAGACCCGCACGTCATGTTGGTAATACGAGCGGGTCATCGGCCTCCTGCAACTCTCGTCACTCTTGGGTTCCTCAGGCCTGAATTTGGAAGAAGTCTCCGGCGGGAGCCTCGTCTGTGAATGCATTGCGAGGAAGTCTCAGGCGGGAGCCCCCTCCCTATGGGGCCCGCACTTCCTGCTGGCAATCCGAACGGGTCATCGGAAACCTTCAACTGTTGACACTTCTGGGTTCCTCAAGCATGAATTTGGAGGAAGTCTAAGGCGGAAGCCTCGTCTGTGGGCGCATTGCGAGGAAGTCTCAGGCGGGAAACCCCTCCTATGGGACCCGCATGTCATGTTGGTAATCCGAGCGGGCCACTGGCCTCCTGCAACTGTCGTCACTTTTGGGTTCCTCAAGCTTGAATTTGGAGGAAGTCTAAGGCGGGAGCCTCGTTTGTGAGTGCATTGCGAGGAAATCTCAGGCGGGAGCCCCTCCCTATGGTTGAGACTTCCAACGCGCGTCTATGCTGTCATGGCGGGTTTGATCGGTTTTGATCGTCGGAATCGCCATCAGTTTTGATGGCCCCGTTTCGCTGGCGAAAGGAGTGTGATGGACGCCGTTGGGGGCTCACCGAAACGCCATCGACAGTTTTTCGCCCAGCCGAGGGCTGAAAATTTTGGCATCGTTTCTGATGGGCGCCTGTCGGTTCTAAGCCCTAAGATGGGCACGAGCACAACAGGGCGCAAGGGCAATCGCGCCCTCGCTGCGCGTCGCAATCAGCGACTGCATCCAACCAAAAACGACGACTACAACGGAGGACAGGGGATGCCAATAGGTGAAGGCAAAGGGCGGGCCGAGGGAGAGCGGGGGGAGAGAGAGGAAGAAGAGGTCAGGGAAGAAGAGGGGAGGGTGGAGGGGAGTGGACTGGAGAGGCGGCCCCCTCCCCCCGCTGCGTGATTTGTCGCTGCCGCCGCCGCGCCTCCTGCCGAGCCGTCGCCCTCGTGCCGTCCTGCTGTTGCTGGCTTGCCAGGCTGCTTCTTGCTCCTCATCGTCCTCATCCTCGTCGTCCTCGTCGTCCTCCTTCTCCTTCTCCTCCTCCTCCTCCTCCTTCCCCCCCTCCTCCCTCCACTATCCCGCCGGCGGCGCTAGAGGGCCAGCGCCTTCTGGGCCTCGGTCCACAGGCCCGCGGGCAGAGCTGACACCTGCACCCCGCGGGCCTGCAGAACGTCCACGGCCCTCAGTACGCTGGCCTTGCGCGTCGGACCCTCGGCCTTGTCGTCCTTGAACGCCTGGGCCAGCGCCGCCGCCGCCAGCGTCGTGTTCGCCACCTCGAGGGTGGCCTGGAAAGCTTTGAACTCCTCGCCGTGGGCGTCTGCGTCGATGCCCAAGGTCGCGTGCTGGGCCGCGCACGCTCGCACAGAGTCTCCGAACTCCTTGACCGCCAACTTCAGTTTGCCGCGCGGCCCGAACTGATTGAAGAGCGTCTTCCTAGCGCGGGCCATGATTGCCGCGAAGTCGTCCACGTCTTCGCCGAACCCGCCCATCCAGTGCGAGCCGTCGTTCATGCCGCCAGCGAGCTTCCGAAGGCGAGCGCCCTCCCTCTGGACCTGCTCCAAGACGTCCTTGAGGGGGGCACCGAGGACGCCAAGGCAACGGCCCACGCCAAGGCAACCCTGGACCCCAAGATCAACGCATGCGACGCCTACCTGGCGGCGCCAAGGTCGCATGCATCGATCCTCGGTCAAGGTTTGCCTCGGCGCGCGTCGCACTCGGTGCATCCCTGGCGGCCCCCGATCCTTTGCGCAGCCAGTCGCGTAGCTCGACGCCACGGCCTTCGCCGCGGCGCACCACGGCTCGATGACCTTGTCGTAGGTCTCGCACGACGTGAGGCCCCGCTGGATGAGCAACTCGTCATGGCCAGCTGAACTCTTCGTGCTTGCACGTCCTGAGATGGCGGAGTCCAGCTGCTCGAAGAGCGCCTGCAAGTCCCCTTTGGCAGTGTCCTGCGAAGCGTGGGCAGCGCAGAACCTGATGAGGGACCTAGCCACCGTGACGCCCACCTGCAGGTCGGCAAGCCGTGAGGTGATCGCATCGACGATGGGCGCAGTCTCAGGCGTCGGGACGATGCACTTCAGCAAGCAAGAGGCGACCACGACCGATGTCTCGGACCTGTCGATCAAACCCTTGGACTCATCAACCCGCTCTAAGTCCAGATCGCTATTCAATATGTCGCTGTTCTCGATGATGCGGACCGATGCGTCGATGAGCTTCTGGCACTGGCCATCGTCATGCACCTTCAAGTCGCAATGCTTGGCCAAGAAGATCCTGATATCGTCGACTCTCTCGCTCGCGGGGTCCATCCGGAACTTGCTGATGGTCTCCATGCACTGGTTCTCCGTGCTGGCCTGGCGGGCGATGTCGGCGTGCAAGGAGACGTCCTCGAACGCTCGTCCCATCGGGTCGTCGCCGCCCCCCTGCTCAACCCCGAGGACCGCTGCGAGCTTTGCCATGCAATCCATCAGCTTCTCCGCCTCGTCGATGTCCAACCGATCTGCGGGCGTCTCGAGGGTGCCGCGAACCAGCCTATCGATCGTGCTGTGGAGGGCCTGCTCTACGCCAACGGTCGCCTTTGCCTTCCCGCGGCACGTCTGCCTCCACAGCAGTATGGATGAAATGGCACCCTCAATGACTCTCAAGCCGTCGGGGTTCCTCCCCGCCTGGACGAGCTCGCTGACCGCGGCAGTCATCAAGGGCGCGATCTCGAGGTCTGTGGACGCGGCACTGCGGAAGGAGGCCTTGTACTGAGCCCAGGGCTCGTACGCTGAAAGCGTCGCAGACAGCGGGTGCCAGCCAGGCTCCTCAGTCGCACCTGTAATGAGCTCGATCATGGGCTTCATGAACATCTTGACCGTATCGAACGTCAACGGGTCGTAGTTCGGCAGCTGTTCCAACAACATGCCCATCGCCGTCACCTGCTCGCAGAAGAGCTTCACGTTATCGGGGCAGCCGTCGACGTTCTTGAAGGCCGCTGCCAGCGACCCTCCGAAACCCTGCAGGTGATTGACATTCTTGAAGCCCTCCGCCACCTGTGGCAACACGATGACGTCAAGCAGCACCTCTCGGGTCAGGGACATATTGTCCTCGATCGGCATGGTCATGGAAGACAAGCGGGGCTGGACCACGTCGTACTCTTCGGCGAACCTTGCGTACGGCAGCAAGGCATCAACCATCACCTCAAAATCATCGATGTTCTCCTTCACGTAAGTCCGCAGAAGGGAAGCCTGGAACGTCGTCGTCTGGAGCACGTGCTCGCTCTTGATCTCCTCCAGCCGCTCGCAGACCTGCACCCACGTCATATTTCCGATGTTGGCCGCAAGGTAGGTGGCCGCCTCGACCTGCTTCTTAAGCGCGGCTGCCATGACGATGACGCTCGGAGCCTTGGGCTTGAAGCGCTTCAGCGAGTAGTCCCTGTCGCCCTTCTTCACGCCGTCCAGGAGCTCCGAGATGTTCAGGCCCCTCCTCAAGGCCTCGAGGCGGTTCTTCTCTGCGGCATTGGGCGTGCTGGGTTTAGCGGCGCTGGCCTTGCCGCCCGACGAGTCGGCGCGCGAAGCGGCCGTGCTCGGCGCTGGGGACCTCGACCGATCCCGCACGTCACTCCCATTGGCAGGCGAGTCGCCTGAGAGCGACGCGCCACACGACCAAGGGCCAGCAGAGCCCCACCCCCTCTGCAACGAGCCTGCCGCTACACTGTCAGCTGCCATTAACGAGTCCTCGACGACAATCACGGGGTCGGTGTAGGTGTAGCCCGCTCCGCTCATCTCGCCACTGCCAAGCTGCGCCCCAGCTGGAGCCCGCGGCTCTGGCGGCGAAGCGCGTGGCACGACTGCGAGGCTCTCGTCGCCGCGAGGGCTGCAAGCGTGGCTGCCCACTCGGCCGCCCATGACGGCCAAGGCCGCGCTGCTGCTCGCAGCCCTGGGCGGCGGGGGGGCATCAAGCCCAGTGCTCGGGCCTTCGCAGAGGCGACCTCCCTCAAGTTGTCCATGGTGGGGACCTTCGCGAAGCCGCGCAAGATCGTCGCCTGCTTCTGGCGGAGCCTGGTGATCTCCTCCCTGAAGGTCTCCGCGTCGGCGCCAACTTTGGAAGCCTTCGACGCCGACAACTTCACCGTCGACATCCGCACCTCGGTGCGAGTGTAGCTCTTGATCTCCGTGTAGGGCTTGTCGGGGTGCTGCATCACGACGCCAGTCGTGCACACGCCAGGCTGGGTGCAGCTGGGGACCCTGCAGTCCAACGTATCTGTCATCTCTGGCGTGATCCCCACGACGCCACGAGGAACCACCAGGGCGTTCCATTGCTGCGGCGTCAACTGGATGTTGGTCTTCGACACCTCTTGGCCGTAGATCGTGTCGATCTCAACCGAGCCGTTCTCACTGGCCGCCGAGTTCACCTGCTCCTCCAGCTCCCTGTCGGCATCGGCGTGCTTCCCGAAGTCATCGCGGAACTCGTCCTCCTCGTGCGACTTCTCGCAGACGTCCGCCCACGCGTACTCCCCAATATAGTGGCGCTCGTAAGTAGCCCAGCACGTGTCGCAGCCTATGATCGAGAGCTGCCTGCCCCTGCCACTTGCGACGGCGCGCAAGGACGTCTCCTTGTCACAGGCCTCGTCGCAGCGCTGGCAGAACGCTGCGTCTGACCCAGCTGCCGCAGCCCTCGCAGACTTGCGGGGTGCCTTCCTGGCCGGCGGGCCGCCTTCACCCTTCTCGGTGCGAGTCCGCGCCATCGCTGCGGGGGCTGGTGCTGGTAGTTGCACGGTGGTCAGTGCTAGCGGCCAGCGGTTGGCTGCAGCCGCGAGCTGGTCTCGCGGCCGAGCGCGGTGGTCAGCACATCCGAGCCAAGGCTGCAAACAACGGAGGGGTAGGAGGAGGCATGCCATCTTCTCTCGGGGGCCAAGGGCGGGGGTGGGCACCGATGCAATCCAACGGTGAGCTGAGGGACGATGCCGAAACCAAATGCACACAGCAATGCAAGCAACGCAACGCTACCAGCGGCAATGCAACGGAGGTCGGCACACGATATACGAATGCAAGACAATGCAGCGCATGACGGTGACAATGCCAATGCATGCAATGCAATGGGGTCATTGAAGATGGCATGCCCCCCGCTGGCAAGCCCAGTCGGCGGATCAACATCGACTTGAATTCAGTGGCGAATCGGCCCAAAGGATAAAGGCGCGGCGACGAGGATCGCTTCGCGAGCGAGGGCCAAAGAACTTTGGACGGGCCCAGTTAGCCAAGCTGCGTCCCGCGAGCACCGCTCAAACGCCAAACGTAAGAACGCGATCTGCTACGCGTCTGCGCGCAGTGCCTCCAAACTGACACCCCCAAAGACACGCCAGATAATGCGAAGCAACAGTGATGCAAACTTCTCGCCGCGCATGGGCGCGCCGTGCCCTCCACCCCTCCCCAAATGGATGGTCTCATCCCCCGATGCCCGCCCTTCTGCAGTATATTATCGGACTGTGGCGGGGCGGGTGCGTTGGTGGTGGGGGGTGTGTGCCCCTGGGGGAAGCAGCGGGGATGGATTGGTGGGTTGGTGAATGCGCCCTCCCGACAGGCAGCGCGGTTCCTCAGATGCCCCATGCCTCGCAATGTTCGGCGCCGTCACAGCACCACGATGGCCCCTGAATCAACCACACTTGGTCGCACAAGGCCCGCGGGTCAAGCCCCCCCCGCAAGGCCCACGAGATGCCAGCGCCAATCGTGCGCCGCTGAGCCCAGGGGGGGCCCACTGGCCACGCCAGCCTCAATGCCCTGCAGGCCCCTATGATATTGGAAGCCCCGAGACCCAACAAACATCCTGGCCTACATCTCGCGCGCCTCACAAGCCCAGGGCCGCCTACAAAGCCCAGCGAAGTGCACACACCCAACAAACGACTCCCCCAACAGCGCTTGCACATCGACTGCTGGGGCCCACGCATTATGCCAAATAGTGAGTTTGCGAAGAACGTAGCGACGACGCTTCCCGCCAACGCATGGACGCAAACCGAATGCACTACTCTCCAAGCAGTACCAATGCCAGGCATCGTGTGCAAGGCGGCGCTTGCAACCTGACTCCGCCCTCAACGGACGAGCGCTCGCCGCGACACGATTCCCCAAACAGTGCTTGCATTCAGTTCTCATTCCACAAACAGTGCTTGCCCGCTGGCCCCGAACATCATCATGGGTGGGCACGGCAGCTTGCAACAGGGAGGACAAACACCAGTCAGCCTCGAACCAATGGACACCATATGAAATGCGAAAGGGCGAACGTACATCTGCAAGGGGACGAATGCGCCTCGACCCGTCCAGTGGTGTAACATCGTTGGCCCTCGCAAAGAAGTGGCAAACAACCCTCGCCACGCCGATGCCAGACAATATGACGGACCTTCAATGGCAACAACTTGCGCGACAATCTGTGCCCGCGGACACTGCCAAGCAAGACAATGAGCGGCAAACGTACAAATATCAAGTCCGCTGCGTCCCACAGAGACGCTGCCGAGCCGTGAAGCCCAATGACCCCACCCAAGAGAACGGGTTTCAGGCGCAGAGACCTCGGCCGTGCATCGACGTCCTTGGGGCCCTGGGGTGCACTGGCCCACGTGGACCCCGTCGGGGGGCCTCTGAGGCCCCGAGGAGAACTGGCATTGGCGATTGAACGCCCCCCAGTAGCCCTGGAACCATATGGGCCCGCAGAAACCCTGGCCCACTTAGATCCGTTGCGCAAGCCCTGGGGCCCTGAGAGGCCCACGCCCTGGCAAGCATACGAGCCTTCACAATGATCGGCCCCCCTCGAGGCCAGAAACCTTAACCATCCTGGAACACGCGTGGCCCCTTCGGTGTCCGACGGCGGCGGCTGAGCCAACACTCAAGTGGGCCCCAGCGCCACCGCGACCGAGATGCGACGCCGACCACCCGACTGGAATTGTCAATGTGCAGTTCATGGCGGAGGGTGGGACTGTCGTTGGTGGCCTGACTCGAGAAACTTCGGCTCTAGCCCGACCACCGCGTTTGCAAAGCCAACGCATGGATGGCAGCCATCAGCCGCATATGGTGGTCGCGACATTGTCGGGGACCGACGCAGCCCACCGATGGGCTGATGCAACGGCCGAAGGCTGGAACCACGCGCCCATGAGGACTTGCCACCCACCCACCCCCTAATGCGCGAGCCAAACGCCACCAGAACACTTAACCCCCCTCTGGCAATGTAATGAATAACCCTCTGCGGTGGCTGACGACGGGCACCACTTAACCCTACGCAAGCCGCCGCATTCCTAACGCACCACCGCCCAAACGGCAACGTCGCACCCACTTTTGCGAACGCGCGTTTGCATGAGAAGTCGGAAAACCTGTTGTGGGCAGGGAAAACCCCTGAGGCGCGCACGCCCACCCCCCCCCCATTGGGGCCCATCGCCGCCCGACGCTGCCAACTCGACTCACGGAACAGCTAAACCAGCCCTACGACGAACAAGCACGACGCTCGCAGCCGACAGGAAGCGAGGATGCTTGACGACCGCTAACGAACCAGATGCTGCGAAACCACGGCCCAGGCGATCACTTCACCGATCGGTCGGCCGAACCAGGCGCACGACAATCCAGAGCATGCCCCACCAAATGGCCGCCCTTGCCGCCTCGATTCTGGCGCGACCACTCGGGGCTGGCGGAAAACCTTCGGGAAGCTAGACAAACCACTTGGCTTGCAAGCGCGCCCGCCGCCTTCGCGCCGAACGCGCCACTCAGCGAAGCTGAACCAACCGACCGACGGACCCCCGCGAACCCTCCAATGCCATAGATACAACACCCGCGCAAATTCGGCAGCCCAATCAAATGAACCAGCGCCCGACTGACGGTCGGCGAACGACTGGCAGCGAAGGGGCCAATCTTCGACGGGCCCAGGCGACGCCCAACGTCTGCCCCCGCCGCGCGCGCACATTCCGTCGGGGCATTGGGCCGCGAACCCGGCATTGGCTTGGCCGCGCCAATCGGGTCGCGCGGCCCCGCGACAGCGCGAACATCGCGCGCGGGACATGCATCAGCAGCCATCCGCCTCCACAGCCAGACGCATTACAAACGCAACCCGCCGATGAATCGGAAGCGCCTTCGCTCGCGGCCACGCGAGCGTCGAGACGCCGCTGCCGCCCGCCGCGACGTTGAAGCCGCGGCCCCAGCGTGGCGTGGCCCGCGGAACGCGCCAGCGGGCAGTGCTCCGAGAGCCGCGCCACCAACCCCCCACCACCCCTACCTTCCCCTGAATGCAAGCGCGTCACCATGTGAGATGACGCGTTGGTCGCGCGCTTGAAGCGATGGGGCGGCGCGCGATAGGGCGCGACCAGATGGGCCTGCCGCCCGAAACCTGAGGGGGGGGGGTCGGCCTGCGGCGCCAGATGCCGATCGGCTGCGCCCGCCAAATTGCGCAGCGCCCAAGCGCTAGCGCGCGAGAAGGCGTCCGCGCCAGCGCATTGCACGCGGCAGCGGCAGCGCAACGGCTGCGATGCTGACGCCAGCCGAGTAAATCGCGAACGGTGGGCTCAGGAAGAGGGCGCCATGGGCCGCCGCATGGCCAGCGATCGCCCGCTTGGTACATCGCGCAGCGCCGGCCGCTGATGATGTGGCGGGCTTCGTTGCGCGACCGCCACCGAAACATACATGGGGGGGGCAGATTGGCAAAATCCGATGGCGTCGCGCCACCCGCCTCTATGAAACCCCTAACCAACCAGAAGCACCAACGTCCCGCAACCACGCGCATTCTTGCGCTGGCGCGACTCTGCGAGGGGCTTCAGTCGGAACTGGTGCCAACCCGCCAGACCGTGACAGCCTGCCTGGGGGCCAAGGCCCAGCGCGGCCCCCCTTGCCGCCCCTGGACCAACCCCCGCCACGCACCGCCCCGCCACCAGCCCCTCGCGCGCCGCGCGCGAACTCCCCCCCCCCCCCCCCCTTGGCGGACCGCGAACAGCGCGGACGCAGGCGGGCGGGTGAGAGGCGGGCGCCAGGGGACTCGCGCGGATGGGGCGAGGGTGGCATCGGCTGCGAACGGGGCGCCCTCAGCCCCGCATCGCCATGGGATCGGCCGCGGCGTGGGTGCTGGCGCGGCGCGCGAGCGGTCGGATGACCTTTCGATGGGGTTCTGATGACGTTTGATGCCCCCCCGACGGCGGCTGAAAATCCGCCATGACTTGTGATGGGGTTCTGATGACTTTTGATGCCCCCCCGACGGCGGCTGAAAATTCGCCATGACTTTTGATGGGGTTCTGATGACTTTTGATGCCCCCCCGATGGCGGCTGACAATCCGCCACGACTTTTGATGGGGGTATGATGGCCTGGCATCGGGGTGCTGATGACTGTTGATCGTTTTTGATCGTTTTTTAACGTTTTTGGTCACTTTTGATCATTTTTGATGCCTGCTTGTGGTGATGACTATTGATGGGGTTCTAATGACATTTTGATGGGGTTCTGATGATTTTTTTGATGCCCCCCCGACGGCGGCTGAAAATCCGCCATGACTTTTGATGGGGTTCTGATGACTTTTGATGCCCCCCCGACGGCGGCTGAAAAACCGCCATGACTTTTGATGGGGTTCTGATGACTTTTAATGCCCCCCCGACGGCGGCTGAAAATTCGCCATGACTTTTGATGGGGTTCTGATGGCCCCCCCCCAGCCCCCTGGGCAAACTTGCGATGGGGTCGCGATGGGCGCGGCCCCGCGCCTGCGGCGTCCGCGCCGATGAGCCATCGCGCCCGCCGCGCCGAGAGCGCGACCGCGCTTGGCAAACGATCCGAACGCGGCCGCCCAGGCCCAACCGCCACCCGCCCATGCGCGCCAG